GTGGAGCTGGGGATCGAACCAACAACCTTCCTACGACCCGCTCTGCCTCTGCGCCACAGCCGCATAGGTGAAGTTCAACAATCACAACCTTACAACTTATCCATGTCCTGTTTGATGGGGACAGTTTCATTCATGGTCAATTCAGCATGTTTCACACCCACTTTAACAAGCCTGCCCATTGGCTGCAGAGTTTGCAGGAATATGGGAAGACAAGACTTGACCATGTAGGCGGCCTGTAAGCAGAATTCCAGTTGGACTTAAGTTAGAACCATTCAAGATGCCTGAACAGTGATTTTAGCATTTTGCTTTGGACCTAGTGGAACTCCTTCCCATTTCCTGCAGTTACACACATCTACTCACTCCGGTAGACAGGACCGCCAGGGAGCCCGAGGCTGTTCTGCTAGCCCTGACGGCGGCTGTGGATGTGGTCAGTCTGTCAGGAGTGCTGACTGTGTTTCACCCAATTCACCTCAGGCTACTGGGCCCCAGGGTTTAATCGCTTCACTGACCACCAGAAGACATCATGGTCTTGCCTGGTCAGTTTCCACTTCTGTTGGACTTTAGGATAAGGGCCCCAAGAACCTACAAGGCTTATCTACAGAGCATATATATGCAGTCTATTGACACTTTAAAACCAGTTCTGGGTGGTGTTCCTATACTTTCATAGAAGTTGTGGCATTGATCAATCCATCTTAAAACCAGTTCTGGGTGGAGTGCTTATACATTCACTGGTCTCAACCTTCAAAAGTAAGCAGACAAATATAACAGCAAATGCACCGTTTCTTTAAGGTTATACAAGATCTGGACTCTTAATGGTTAACTAAGCTCTGTAATCTTGGGGCATATAAGGATGGGTGAGCAGGGTGAATGGATGTTGATAATGTCCCTTGCACAATGCATTCTGTGATGTACAAATGTTCTCTGAGTTTGGCTGATGGAGCCATGAGATCACTTAACCTTTAAAGACCTTTTGAACAGCCTCATCAGCCTAAAATATGGCTTATAAATCTTTAAGCAGGCCTTTTGTAGGGGGAACTGTTGCCATGCTCACAGCAGTTCCAGAGCAAGTTGGAAAAATGCAACAAAAAAGGTAGCACTGGCTGAGAGTTTGGAGAAAGAGTGTTTCTTGTTCCTATCCTCCAACCTGAAGGGAAAGGACCTTAACCCTTGACAGATTCAGAGGAGCTTGGTCAGCTGTACCAGACCATGGTCTTACTGATTAGCATTCACTTATGACAATTGTATACAATTTGAAAATACTGTTTTGTTAAAAGCAGAGTGTGCATGCGCTCTGTAAATCCTGCCTGGACAGATAACTGAAGGTCAAAACATTTAACCAGAATGCTGCTGGAACATCCTTCTTTAAAGTCAGCACAACAGTAATTCCTCCACGCACTTTACCGGAAACCGACAGATAACACAGAAGGAAAACACACAGCGTACAGTATGAACATGAGGAAATGGCTGACATCTGTAACCTACATAACCGGTAAATAACCGGCAGCAGTAGCCTAAAGGTTACAGAAACAGGGTTATGACTAGCTGATCCAGTTTTACTGTGGAGTATAAGCTCCTGGTTGCACCCATAAATGAACCTATACATATACTGTATGTGTATGTGATGCAAAGAGCTGCAAAATAACACACTCATCAATTTCTAAAGTAATGATTTTAAAATAGACTAAGTGGCACATATTTTGTTACAAATGGAGCATATTAAAATAAAAGGAAGCCCTCACTTTATCGAGA